TGTGTGTGTGGTAGCAGCAAAGCCCTGTGACTAAGTGAACATGGAGACTCATTTTCCTTCCTCCCCCATGAAGGAGTCTCTGCCAGGCAGATTTAGAGGTGTTGGAAGGGTAGCAGATTAGGGAAAATTTGCCAAGTAGATATCTAGATGGCTGTTCTGAGTCAGAGAGAAATATAAAGAACTTGGGCTTTGCTGCTGAAGGCTGATTCCCCACTCTTAAAAACACCCACTTCAGAGAAGGAAATTGTCCAGCTTCTCTACTTCAACAGCACCGCAGTGACTGAGATAGCAGTCAGATACCTGTTTGGGGAATCAGGAACAGGAAAGGTGTCTGTCCTGCACAGCACTGGAAGGGTTAACACTATTTGGCGGATGGGCACAGAGCAGTTTTCTCGTCCATTCAAAGCAAACTGCATGTGTGACCCAGATCTGGAGGCCAGCTTCCAGAATCCTTTGGTGTCCCGCAGCAGGGCTAGTGGGATGTGTTACGCTGCACTGCTCAGCATCTCCTAAGTCCACAGATCACAGGTTGCAGGTATGGTGGGACATGGAAAACTACAGTTCCCAGAATTCCTATGTGCCCATTTTCAGAGGACATCACTCACCTGACAGCTAAAGTTTTTTTACATACTACTTTGCATCTTCAAAGTGCTGTATAGCAAGTACACTCATAAAAACTAGAGAAAGGCTCTAAGCAAAAACTGTGATTCTAATGCCCTCTGAATGACAGCAGTGGTTCAGACTGTAGATCTCACTTTTGCATCTTGTGCCATTCACCAAGAACAGTAGATATGACATTCATACAGCACCCATCTTCCCAAAAGATCCCATAGCATTTAAGAAGCCATGTACATACAGCACCACTGAAATGCAGCCACCTCTGCGGTGCAGGCCACCACAGGAACTACAGCTCCCAGAATCCTCCAGTGTCCAATACCTGCCCTGGTTTCTTTAGCTTAGGAGCAGGGGAGGGACAGAGAGACAGAGAGAGGGAGAGATGAGGATGGAAGGAAGGGAGGAAATGCAACGGGCAGACAGGGTTTCTTATGCTTGGGAAACTCACCAGCCTCCCCCTGCCACCAGCAGCAGGGGCAAGTGGGTACGGCTGAATGTTGGGGGCACCATCTTCCTAACCACGAGGCAGACCCTGTGCCGGGAACAGAAATCATTCCTGTGCCGCTTGTGCCAGGGGGAGGAGCTGCAGTCAGACCAGGTAAGCATCAGGCTGGCACCTGCCCTGAGGGGCTAGCTTTCTGCCTGGCATCGTGTATGCGTGCGTGCGTGCGGTTGTGTTCTGCCTTCTTCTTGTACCCATCTGGGAAGAAGGGGACCCCTGAGGGAGAGACAAAGCTCTGCACAGGCTGGGCTGGGGGGCACGAGGAAAAGAGGAGAGAGGGAAAGGAGCACACGGGCAGAGGAAGGGTAGGTGCAGGAATAGGGGAGAAAGGGATGGAGCCAGGCTGATGGCAGGGACTGCACAGCAACTCTGCAGCTGCAGAGAGGCAGAAGTAATTTGATGGAGCAACCTCCATCCCTCCCTGGATCCCCTGGTTTTCTCTTTTTAGTGCCATGCAGCTGTCTTAACATGTGGCATAACACTTGTCTTCTGCACCAGAACTACCAGCAACTCCTGAGAGGCTCTGTTTTCTTATGCTGTTACTACTCCGCCTGAAGTGCCCTAGCTTTGAGCCACTGCTTGGCTCAGACTTTAAGCTGAAGCCTGACAGGAGAAATAGCTTTGCCAAAATTAAGAGCTTCCCATCCTCCTTGCCTTCATGCGGACTGTCAAGGTAGGAGCCATGCTGAGTGGAGAGTCCCCGACTTTTTATTTTTGATTCTTGCTGTTACTGACAGGGTTATGTAGTAAAACTCCCAGAAAGCCTCATCAATCAGAAGGGGGAGTTTGGAGGGAGTTTGCCTGAAATGTCAGGAAGCCCAGAAGCTCAAATCTGTGCGGGATTTTCCTAGATCCTTTCAGTTTATCTGAGGGAGAAAAAGTAAGAGTCTTGGCCCTTTTGATGCAGGGCTGCGCTTAGGATACCAAGACCTTTACAATCAAGGTCCTGCTTGCTCTGTATGAACATTAAAAATCCTGGGTACTGTTTTGACCCAGCATGCTTTGCCAAGCAAAGTATGATGACATAGTAGTTAAGGCATCTTGCTATGAACTTGAAGCTGTGCGTTTGAGCCTCATGCTGGACTTGTGCTGGCATCTGTTCCTGTTGAACCAGCTGTAAATATGTACTTGTTCGTTTAGGCAGGGGAACAAGAAGCAGCTGAACGTAACGACCCTTTGTTGGCTGCAGAAACTGGAGTGTTTTAACTGTGTTGGCCTGATGGGCTGCTTGGCTTTGATGCTGACTTTGCCAAAGTCCCTGAGCTTGTGTATTTGTAGCGCTGTTGTCTGCAGCATTTACCAGCTGCCTTTCACTCAGATGTGGGTGTTTTTCTATGTGGTACTGTATGCCTAGGTGATTCAGAAGGAGTTAAGGGGCCTAATGCTTATGTTTTTCTTCATCTTGGATCACTTAAGGAAGGGAGATAGCATCATCTTTATCTTTCATAGGGAAGCTGAGGCACAGAGAGATTGTGGTAAATTTCCCAAGCTTGCATAGCCAAGAGAACTGAACCCAGCTCCATTGCTACGCCTTTACTACTGGATCAAAAGAGCCATAGGAATATCATATATTGTTACTAAAATTATTATGTTATTACTGCTCATTGCATAGTGCTGTCAGGGATGGGGACAAGTTTCCCTTGCAAATTTTTCCTATGTTGGCTTGTCTCTGTGGTTAGGATGAGACTGGTGCCTACCTCATAGACCGGGACCCCACATATTTTGGACCTATCCTGAATTTTCTCCGTCATGGCAAGCTGGTACTGGATAAAGATATGGCTGAAGAGGGTAAGTCTTAGAAACCCCAAACTTCCTTCTTAACACCTCTCCCTGCTGCTGGAAGGTTACATTACATGCTGTTTGCCCTAATTCCCTGACCTCATTCCATTCTGCTATCCTGAAAATGGGTCAGTCTTCATTTGATACACTGAATAAGTGGTTGGGAGGAAGTGCCCACTAGGATGGTGAGGGAAGCCCAGTTTGAGTAGATTCTTGAACAACCACTGCTCCGCTGGTTGAAGTGGGCTGCTGCAGTTACCGGGGGTGGGAAGAGATGGGAAAGGAGCAGCAAGGGCACTGGTCATTGGGACAGTAAGTTCCCTGCTGAATTATCAAATAGGTTGCAGGTGGCCTTCTGCAATGCAACCCCACAGGGTTTGAGCCCTGTTTGGCTGAGACTGCTTTATCACACAGTCCCTTCTTACCATTTCACTTCTTCCACTAGGAAGGTAGGAGGATGAAAAGCTCTGAGTGGGTCAAAGTGGGAAGGGTGGGGTCAGACAAATCTCACTTTCCTGCCATGTCTGCATAGGGACCAGGGAATCTGTGAAGGTTGTTTTTGAGACATCATTGCCCCTTGTGTACCCATTAGGTACCATGCCCCCCGCCTACCCTGTCCCACAGGCCTGTTAGCAAACATGATCACGTGGGTCTCAGGAGAGGGGCCAGATGCGAACACGGTAGCTTAAAGTGAAACACAAATCTTTGTTGATCTGCTTTGAGGGAAAGCACAATTCAATTCTGAGATCAGCAAGACAAAGGTCACTGAGGACAGGGACCAGATGGGAAAACTCAAATTCCTGTAGTCCCAGGACAATGACAGGGAGTGAAATCAGGTCTCACTCTTAAGTGTATAGAACTCTGCAGAAGAGATGCTGAGAGTGTCTGTATTCAGTGGCTGCTGAAGGAAGCCCTCAGGACAGTAACCAAGGGCCAAAGTGAAGCCCTCAGAAAGGTAGCCAGGGCCTTATAATCAATCTCCTCAGTCAGTAAATCAGGGGGAGCAAGTTGTGTACCCCACAGTGAGAACCTTTCTCTCCCTGCGAAAGTGAGCAGTGGGCCTGGATTCAGAGCTCAGTGACTAGTGCCCCCTTTCTGGAATCACAGCAGGATAGGGGGTATTCCCAGAGGGTGGTGGTGGACGGGTCAGTATCGACCTGGAAGGATGTGGGCAGTGGGGCCTGCAGGGCTCGGTCCTTGAACCTGTACTCTTCAATGTCTTCATCAGTGACTTGGATATGGGGTGAAGTGTACTCTGTCCAAGTTTGCAGATGATACTGAATTGTGGGGTGAAGTGAACACACCGGAGGGTAGGGAACGATTGCAGGTGGACATGGACAGGTTGGAAAAGTGGACAGAACACAATAGGATGCAGTACAAGGACAAATGCAGAGAGCTGCACCTGGGGCGTAAAAATATCCAGCACATCTACTGGCTGGGGAATGACCCTTTCAGCAGCACAGAAGCGGAAAGGGATCTTGGAGTCATAGAGGACTCCAAGATGAACATGTGTCATCAGTGTGATGAAATCATCAGCAAAGCTAACTAGACTTTATCATGCATTAGGAGATGCATGATGAACAGATCCAAGGAGGTGATACTTCCCCTCTATGCAGCATTGGTCAGACCGCACTGGGAGTTCTGCGTCCAGTTTTGGGCTCCGTACTTTAAGAAAGATGTGCATAACCTCGAGAGGATTCAGAGAAGGGCCACTCCTATGGTTAAGGGTTTGCAGGCCAAGCCCTATGAGGAGAGACTAAGGAACTGGATCTCTTCAGTCTCTGCAGGAGAAGGCTGAGAGGTGATATTGTGGCCATCTACAAATTCATTAGAGGGGCGCAGAAAGGGATCGGAGATGCTCTCTTCACCAGGATGCCTCTTGGGGTAACAAGGAACAATGGTCGCAAACTGACAGAGCAGATTTAAGCTGGACATTAGGAAGAACTTCTTCATGGTGAGGGTGGCCAGAATTTGGAACAGGCTTTCAAGGAAGGTGGTGCTCTCCCCTACCTTGGAGGTCTTTAGGAGAAGGCTGGATAGGCATCTGGCTTGGGTCATCTGACCCCAGCACTCTTTCCTGCCCAGGGCAGTGGGTCGGACTTGATGATCTGTTGAGGTCCCTTCTGACCCCAGCATCTATGAATCTATGAATGGTAACCAGGGAGCTGGAGTTCAGTTCAGGCCACTACCTCTTCCCATGGTCCAGTAATCAGGGGAGTCTGAATTCAGTACCAGGTGTAGGAGCTTCCAAACAGCCCAAACCTCTTCATGTAGGGGGAGTTCCTGGTTGATGGATCTGAATTCTTGGAGATGCCAAATGGGACTGAGAAATAGAGAAAATAAGCCAATAAGAAAATACAGCAGCTCATCCATGTGCCTTTTGTGCTCTCTGTGCCTTTATTTCTAGGGGTTCTGGAAGAAGCTGAGTTCTATAACATTGGCCCTTTAATCAGAATAATCAAGGACAGACTGGAGGAGAAGGACTACACAGTAACACAGGTATGGGGAGAGAAAGAGACAGAAGGTGGAGATGAGGAAGAAAGAAGAACCAGGAATCGTAATGGGAGAGATGCTCGAGTCATGCAGTAGAAACACAGGGATGACTCCACTGAATAGAGTCAACAAGCCAAATTCCATGTCCTGAAATCTCCCCTGAACAAGACCTCCACTTAATTACAATAACTTGGTCCTGTTTTCTTAGCCCATAGGTGGCACTGGATGTGGCATTTGTCTGATCTGTGAAGATATTATATCATCAACCTTCAGTCAGAGCACTAACCATAAGAGCTTGTTCAATATATGAAAGGGCTGGTGTGTTGAAGGTATAATGTCTGCTGGGCCCCTGTCTATTCAGAAAGTAGTCAGCTCATTCCCTTTAGTGTGCTGCCACTCTAGGAGGCAGGAGGAGATCAGTGAGGAATCACTGAGGTGTTAGCATGAGGGAAGGCAGAGGGATATGTGGGGGGAGTCACTAAAGTATCATGGCATTAGGCAGAGGGATAGCTGTGGAGAGGAAATCACTGATCCTGAATTCTCCATCTCTCACCCTGCTCACCTCTTTCAAGATCTCCTTTAATACTTTCTGCTTCTTAATAAATAATAACAACAACAACAACAATCCTGCTAATAACAACAACAGTGATAAATAATGGTGGTAATATGCATCAAAATGTCACCAAGACTTTCATATTGACATTGGGGTCCTACTTTAGTAGGTATTATACAAACACAGGGACAGTCCCTGCCCCAAAGGATATATAATCCAAATAGACAAGGAAAGGGTGAGAGAAAGGCTGGATTATCATCTTCCTTTTGCAGGCTGGAAACTGGGACACAGAGAGATTAGGTGCTTTGCCCACAATCACACAGGCATCCTGTGGCAGATACACTGCTGCTCCTTGCCAGTAAATCACCCTACCCTCTTTCTTTGAATAGTTGTCCTGTGCCTTATCTTGTACTGCTTTTTGCCTCATATGACTTAGGCTGTACACCCCCATGGGATAGGGAATGTGCTGACTGCTTCTAAGTGGGCATCTATGGCACTATATAGGTGACTTTCATTAATGTTAGTAACAATTGCAGATTTCCCATATCGAAAAGTGTGGTCTCTGCTGAGCGCTGGATTCTCCTCTGCATTGTGTGGATTTAATACAGGTGCTTTTCTGCTGCATCTGCGGTCTGCTCCCTCCCCACCATAGAAACCACTCTCCTTTTCTGTCCTTATTCCAGGCCCTCCAAGGACTAGGCAGTATGAAGTTGAGCCACAGGTCTTTCCTTATTAGCCACAATGGTGTTAGTTTTTGTTCCAATATGGTGTCTTGAGGCCAGAGAACCATTTTGCTTTATTTTCTGATGGAACATCTGCCTCACAGGAAGGATCTGTCAGCAACATGCTTTTAATAAACCCTTCACTTTGCTCCCAGGTTCCACCAAAACATGTGTACCGGGTGCTGCAGTGCCAGGAAGAAGAGCTCACTCAGATGGTTTCCACCATGTCAGATGGCTGGCGTTTTGAGCAGGTATGGGCAGTATATGTGTGGCCTAGGTAGGAGTATATTGTTAGCCAAGAGAAGGGAAATAAACCATAACCCCAAGGTGCCAGAATGCACACTCCCTTCCAGGAGTAGTGTTCACTCACCTGAAACAACCTGGGATGCTGTCAGGGAGTGCCCCTCTCCCTGTCACCTCTTCAGCAGGAGTTGGGAGGACCCTGTGCATTTGAGGATAAAGTTCTCTGCATTTCAGCAGGTTCCATTCCCAGTTCATGTCCTAGCCTCTGTTTTGTTCCCAGCTACTGGGATGTATTAGCAGGATTCATACATAGAGGTTTGACTCAGTGCTGCCTGAAGGCTTTCCCCCAGAGAACAGTAGCCATATAGCAATGAATGTGTGTAATCTTCCCTTCCTTTTTCTGTCCAGCTGGTGAATATTGGTTCAACCTATAACTATGGGAATGAGGACCAGACAGAGTTCTTGTGCGTGGTCTCCAAAGAGCTGTACAGTTCTCCCAATGGCCTGAGCTCTGAGCCCAGCCGCAAGGTTAAGGTGAGACTAACTTTTATGTCAC